ACACACACACACACACAATGTGTCCCTTGGGTTCAGCCACTAGGCTAGTCCATGTTTAGCTGAAATGACCAGATACACTGTTGAGTTTCCTGCCAATGGTAAGGAGGCAGGTTGTGTCAGTTCAGAAAAAGAATGGGACTCTTCTGTCCACCAGGTAACAAAACATTTGTGACAGCCCCAATTAGGCAAGGTATGAGGAAGAAGTAATTCACTCCACTGATACCCATGGAATCCTTATGCTTACGTTCCAACTAATATCCTAGATATCTTGTCTCAGAATATTACCAGCCTTCAAGACTCTTTATTGTAGCCCTATTCCAGGGACTACAGAGTATGGCATTGAAAGAGAAAGTGGAAATAAAATAGGGAACATCTGTAAGTTCCCCAGTTGAATTGTTTTTAAACTGGCCCCCAGTTAGCAAAAGTGGTAATTTCCCAGGTTCCTTTGGTTGGCACTCCACCTGCAGGCCAGAGAAGGTGAAATTCAACTGGAGGAGATTTTCACCTGGGTGCTTTTCTTCTATCAGTTCGCAGTTCCCTTCTAATTCATTTTATTAGCCCCTGATATTGTACCATTGCCAGATACCAGTAGAAAGTTGCTTTATCAAGAACCATTAGGAAGCCTATGCTATTTCAAATAAGGGTAGCTTGGCAACCAGCATCCATGATTCATTTCCAGCCTTCTGATCAGAATCAGTTTTTATTTTGGAAACAACGCCTTAGTCATATCTTTCACTAAGAGTGAGTAGGAGTCTTCTAAACAATCTCTTGTCTGACCCTAATTGCACCAGCTTAGGGCTTCGTTGCTAAATAACACACAGGACATTGCTTATAAAGCACTACAGTTCATCATAGGAAAGGCCTATAGTATCCCAGCAATATTAAAGTCAGGGTATCAGGATATGGTCCATAATCACAGGCTGTTTTCCAGCATAGTGTCCTGAGAGTCAAACCAGGGGAATGCTGTAAATGCCCTCTCTCTGTGAAGGCCATACAAGAATATACTTTACCGCTTTGATCTAGAACCATTATTCTGAGCACAGACCACTTGGGAAAATGATGGAGCACACGTTGGCATTGGAATCCTGCCCAGAGTTTCTTATAACTTGCTATTTATCTAGCCATATTCTGCCTTCTGTGTATAGAAGGAAACTCCAAACCCAGAGGCCTTCATGGGTCAGTGTTGTTGCTAGCAGTGAATGATGATGATAACATATAACCTATGACTACACAGTCTGTCACTCCTGTTCACTGCTTTGATCAAGGTCCTGCATTGTGTAAGCTGTCTTAGCAAGAGCTCTTCATGCCAGTGCCACAGCCTCTAGAATTTAACTTCACAGCATAGATAACTACATCAAAGTATATTGGCTTTCTTTCTGTGCAAAGATTTGCTCTCAATGTCCTTCAGCATTCAGTGTCTATAGAATGATGAGATGTCAACAGCAGCTGCCTCTTCCCACAGGCTCCTTCTGCCAGGGCAAAAACTGTTCAGCATTGCAGCTATCCATATGTCATGACACCCTGTCTTCATAATTAGGTCTCAGGATTATTTGTATTAGCAGAGTTTCCAGGTCGGCCTGTTGGATGAGCTTGTTGGATGGACACTGCATGACTTGTCCTAAGTTCTGAAGCTTTTCAATCTCACTATCATCATCATGATTTTGTGTATTGGTGATAATAGTTGTAATGCTAAAGGAAGTCGTACAAGTGAATGTGAGATGGTTTCCTTTCTCTAGAAAGTCTCTCAGGACTCTTTTTGCCATCCGTCTATCTACATCACTATGTATTCTTCCATGAGGAATTGAAAGAACCACGCTGCCGTGCCATAACACCCAGAGCAAGACTACTTCTCTCTAGTGTCAGTTTTCTGCAAAAATTATACTTTCTGGGCTTTAACCCCAAGATTAGGCAAAAAATGCCAAAAATCTGCTTCAGCATCTTACCAGTGGCATATATAGAAAGGAGTAGAGTTACATTTGAAACTAGTGTTGGGCCTATGGAGACAGTAGAGCAGGAAGGATGCTTACCTTGCATACTTCTAACTCTGATTCAGTGCCCAACAACACATCTAATCTCCTGAGCATCACCAGGAGTTACCCCAGTGCACAAACTAGAGTACTAAGGAATTGAGTAGGCACAACCATTGTCTCAGGAACCATCAGTGGCATCCTTGTGCTAATGTTTTCTTCCTTCCATGGTTTGTTTTTCCTGCACAGCAGAGAGACTGGAGGAGGCCAGAGCATTTTGTACTGTCCTCCTTAGCTCTCACCCCCACTGTCTGAGCCATCAAATAGTTCCTTTTCATCAGCATCCTCTTTAAAAACATTTTTGACAACAGAACAGTATTTCAGAACACCCTTGGCTTTTATGTAGCTCCAAAATATCTTCCCTACTGAATATACAAAGGTATAGATTCCCTAAATGGAAATTTCTGGCTTGAGGTAAAGAGAGTTTCACAAAGTTGTTTCTGAGGCTACTAGAAAAGGGCTGGAGCAATAGCACAGCAGGTAGGGCATTTGCCTTGCATGCGGCCAACCCGGGTTCGATTCCTCCGTCCCTCTCAGAAAGCCTGGCAAGCTACTGAGAGTATCCCACCCCCAGGGCAGAGCCTGGCAAGCTCCCTTGGCATATTTGGTATACCAAAAACAGTAACAAGTTGCACAATGGAGACGTTAGTGCTACCCGCTCGAGCAATTCGATGAACAATGGGAGGACAGTGCTACAGTGCTAATGTTTCACCAAAAATTCTTCTCTACAGCCTTCAACATATTCATTTTGAACAAGTATATGTCCATGTGGCATTTCGATAGTACCAATCAATTTTACATAGCTTGTCAAGTCCTTAATATCAGCATTGTAGAATTACATAGGTGTCTTTTAAATGTTTTTCTATGAAAATGGTATTGTTCTTAGTATGTTTGTTTTGGTAAAGGTGTTCATGGTTCTTCTGTGAGGGATTGTTCTGGTGTTTAACCACATCAGGTTTTAGCAAAGCATACTGAACAGTATATCTCTCCTAACTGTGATCTGCTCCTCCTGTTATTTCAAAGCCATTGGCTTGTTCCCCCTTGAGCTATTTATACTCCAAATTTTCTATTCTCTGTGTTACGTATTCACCTGTAGAGAGATAAGAATAGACCCAATAAAAAGGAATTCATGTGGTTTTGCTGTTTGTTGCCATTGCATGGGAAAATCCAACTTCTAATACAAAATGAGTTAAAATCTCACTTGCTAGTTCTTTGATCCTTTATGCTATTTCTTTAATATGAAGCAAATATACTTACAGTGGTTAGGGTAGAGTCACACAGGAAAAAGGAAATTGTACAAAAACTTTAAGCTGCCCATAGCTTCCTTCAGCTGTGGGTATAAAGAAATAGCACTGGGATATATTGGTATTTGGAAGAAATCCATTCCTCTCTTTTTCTCATGGAAATTGTATGCTGGGCGAAGTGTTCTCACTGCCTGCACTTGATGTGGTGGCTACAGAGAAAGTCTAGTGCACACAGGAGGGAATTAGTTGGAACCTTTGTGTCTGTACCTTTCTCCCTTGCATCCCCTGCCTGGTCTGCCTCGCCCTCCCCCAAGTCTTCCTGTGTGCTTCCCTCGTTGTTATTTTTTATTCTTTATTCTCTTCCCTTCCTGAGTCCCTTAAATCAAGTCCTACTCCTTTCTGCCACTTTATACAAGGTCTCGGCTTCTTTGTCTTTCGAGTATTTTTTTCAGCCAAAGGAGAGAGCCCTTTACTTTGATAGGATGATGGCTAGTCCCAGGCATTTGTGGGAAACACAGACCTTTACTCATGGGATGAAAGACAGAAGGAAAAATCCCTCCTACTTCTATCACCAGGCCTCGTTCATGCTTCCAGGGAAACTTTAAAGGCTACTATTTTCCTTTATTAAGACAAAATAGGTGCACCACAGAGCTGTTAAACAATATAGGTATTAACCATAATTTTTGTGGGGTTTGCCCCTAATTGGAACTCACTACAATTAATTAGTGAGCTACACTAAAATCTAAAATTCGCATCTGTTTAGTATCAGGGAAGTTGTTTACTGAATGCTGCCTAGGATGCCTGCAGTCACACTTAGAATTGTGTTTCTACCTTTCCCTCCCTCACATGTGAGAAGTTTGCTTAATCACCATCTAATCCTTCTCTCAGAGGACTGATAATTCAGACCTGAGTTTAGAGGTATAACATGCTATGAAGGGAAAGAAAATGTTACCTTTCCTGTTTGGGTAATAAATTGACTTTGGAGAAAAGCATCTTTCCTTGACCTCTTGAGGGGTAAGCGCGTGATTTACTGATGTGAATTTTAAAAAATGGAGGGTTCCCTTTGGTTCTGTTTCTTTTTGCATATGAATTGATGGCACCCCAGTTGAGAGGACTTTTCCCTCCTCTCCCAGTTCTAAGAAGTTCTTAGAGGACTTGAATCGTGCATTATAAGGTATAGTTTTAAGGTGAGGTTGCAGGGTGGGAAAAAGAAATAAAAAAGCAGCTTGAAAAACTTATATATCAGGTCTGAAGACAGGATAGGTTAATTATACCATAACATTAGTTGGCCTATTGAAAATTTCAGTGAAGTTGATTGCTTTTTCATTTGATGTTAAGGTAGCATTGAGATTGTGAGGTGACCAAGATCTCAAGGAGAAAATTACTTCATGATCTTAACGACATGGCTGGATGTATAGAGGTCACACAGCCCTGACTATACAGGGTAATCAAACTGACCTCTAATATTAATATGTGAAAATATCAGGAACTCTAAATCTCTGGCAAAACTGTTGGTTGTTTTTTGGGGGAGGAGATACTTGTGTAGAATGGCTGTGTTGATAAAGACTAGGCTAATTCCCCCTCATTCAACTATTCACCAGTACTAAAGAACAGAAAACAACTGTGCCAGGGTGTTCCCAAAGGAAAAAGCTCGCAGGAGGGAAGGGGGGGGGTGAGGGTGAGTCTCTCCTTTGAACCATTGTGATATGGTTTCCTGTGGCTTTTGCAGTGGATCTCTTGAATCTGTCAGCTGCCTGCGATGCCTTGGACGAGCATAACCTCAAGCAAAATGACCAGCCTATGGATATCCTGCAGATCATTAATTGTCTGACCACCATTTATGATCGCCTGGAGCAAGAGCACAACAATCTGGTCAATGTCCCACTCTGCGTGGACATGTGTCTGAACTGGCTGCTGAATGTTTATGATACGTATGTATGGCATGCTTTTTTTTTCCTCATTCTTGACACAGGCGGTCTACAAAGGGCAAAGATGTAATTAGCATTGCTGCGGGGTTTTGGTTTAGAAACTCAGTCCACTGGATGAAAGTTTTATGAAACCACACACATGCTGGGGGAAAAGGCAGCTCAGATAGAGAAGGGAGCACCAAGTAAAGAGTGTTGGGAGGATCCTACCAGGATGGGAGATGCATGCTGAAAGTAGACTATAGACTGAGCATGATTGCCACTCAATGCCTCTTTTGAAAACCACAGCACCCAAAAGGAGAGAGAGAGAGAGAGAATAAAAGGGAATGCCCTGCCACAGAGGCGGGGTGGGATGGGTGTGGTAAGTGGGGCGGTTACTGGGATCATTGGTGGTGGAGAATGGGCACCGGTGGAGGGATGAGTACTCGATCATTGTATAACTGAAACCCAAGCACAAAAATTTGTAAGTCTACAACTGTACCTCATGGTGTCTCACTAATAAAACTTTAAAAAAAAAAAGAAAAAAGGAAAAAAAAGAAAGTTTTATGAAACCGTGGGACTTCCTGGTGTCCCTGGGATAAATCATGTCTGCATTTATTGGAACTGAAAAACATATTTAGTAAGCCAGGAGATAAGAGCTAGCTAACCAGAGAGTGCTCTGAGATCAGAGACCAAACTGTTGAAGCATTCATTTTTTTTCCAGTCATAGAATGAAGTAGCCATGGGTTCTTTTCCCATTCTGGCTTGCGTGTTTCGAATTCCTCCTTGCACTTAGGGGTGGCTCTTTCTCAGTACAAATGAATGTGCTTCTGGAGATGCCCACACGCCCATCAGCAGATGGAAATAGCTTTAGCTGATATGTGGGAGATTTTTGCAGAAGATTCAGTTTGGAGAAGCTGGACCAAATGAAAACAAACCCTAAATGCTGCCAACTCAGCTCCTGAAACTGGAGACTTTTTTTTTAAAATAAGGACCTTTTTTTTTAATGAAGTTTCAGTTTGGCACTTCCATTCATCACTCTTTGAGAAGATTTGTTTATTACTTTTGGATTAAACACAGGGGATAGCCCCAATGTACTCATTTCTCTTTGGATTTTAATGATGACAATTGAGGAAGTGGACAGAAGAAATTGGTGTTAACTTTGCATTCTTAGACTTCAAGGTTATTACTTGCCCCATTTCACATGTCAAGTAGAAAGAACATCTCCCCCCTTTTGCCCTTTATTGTAGAATTCTGCTACTAACCTTTTTTTGATTGATGTTTTGAATAAGGTCTTGGATTTTTCTATCCCAAAACTACCTGGCTATTGAATTCTGACCATTGGACATAGTGGATTTTAATTGGGGATTATACTTAGCTTTGCCTTGATATGAATCTGTATTCAGGGCCACCTTCCATTATTTTTAGAACCATTTTTCTTGCAGATGACCTTCCAAATGAATCCTGAGCTTGTAATTTCCCCTATGCATGCCTGAAAATTATTTGGGGACAATTTAAGCTTTCTGAAGACCTGAGTTATTTTATAATGATTGTTAAATCTTTTTAAAAGTTTGCCAGTTTGGGGGCTGGAGAGACAGTACATACAGGGAGGTAAGGTAATCACCTTGCATGCAGCAAACCCCACTTCAATCTCCTGCACGGCATAGGATACCCAGAGCACTGCCAGAAGTGACCCCTGAGCACAGACTCAGATGTAATCCTTGAGCATTACTGAGTGTGACCTCAAAAAAGGAAAAGAAATGTTACACCATTTATTTAAAGAATAAAAAGAAAATCTTCTAATTTTCTAGTAATTTTGTTCATGCACTAGGATTCAGGATTTCTTTTTCATTAAGAGATTTATTAAATTATTCCAATTGAAAGTTCAATACGTTGTTCCCCAAAATAACCACATTTGAGGCCTATCCTTTATAAATTTAAATGCTAAATTGAATAGTTTAAATATTTTTACCAACATCTAAAATTGAATTGCTTTTCATAACTAACTATATAAAAGCTGAAAATTATTGAAGGATATTTAGAAAATGAAAAATATTTAAAATTTTCCCATGCAAAAAAAGAGCTTGTTAATAAATCTGTTATGTGGAATGCTTTCTTTTGGCTTTATATTAAAGTGAAAGCATATGTGTATTAACATTGATATAGCAATATGTTATTTTAAATTGCTCCTTAAGGTCATATATTTGAATGCTGTCTCAAAGAGTATCATTTTTCTTATGAAGATATTTATGTTTTATATGTCATATAGCCTGAAGTGATTAATTTTCTGCTCAATAAGGGGCAATCTGATGAAAATCTAAAAGAGTATTCAAGAGAACAGAGCAGTTAGTTGCTGGGAATTTTTTGGCTTCAGTAACCAAAGTCGGTAATTTGCTTCAGTAACCAAAATACTTTAGTGGATAGAAGTAATTCTTCCTCTTATTGACTTACGCCCAGGTGGCTCTCTACAGATGAATAGAAGCGTTTCTTCCCCTACACACCCATTTCATGTAGAGCTACTTTTTGCAACTACTTTTGCAATTCAAGTGAGAGATTTTTCAAATTGAAATTCGGTGATTATTCATGAGTTGAGTTGGTCCAGTTCTTTCTCCACATTCTAAGCCTGATAGATAAGGAACTAAAAAATTCTCGAATGTTTTAATAAAACAACGATTAGGGGCAGCGAACTAGTATAGCAGTTAAGGTGCATGCCCAGCATTGTCCTGAACTGGATTCAATCATGGGCACAGCATGATCCTCTGTGTGTGTGTGTGTGTGTGTGTGTGTATCCACATACATCAGTGGGTATAGCCCTGGAGGCCCTCAGCCTTCACCATTGTGGATCAGTGCAATCCTCAGCACTGCGGGGCACAAGCAGCACCCTATTTTTGGCCTATCTAGATCAAACCCCCGGGGCCTCCTGAGGATCTATTGGGAGACAAATAAATGAAACTATACTAAATGAAACTATGGTTAATGGGCAGGGCTGGAGTGATAGCACAGTGAGTAGGGCGTTTGCCTTGCACATGGTCAACACGGTCAACCCAAGTTCGATTTCTCCACCGCTCTTGGAGAGCCCAGCAAGCTACAGAGAGTATCTCGCCAACACGGCAAAGCCTGGCAAGCTACCCGTGATGTATTTGAAATGCCAAACACAGTAACAAGTCTCACAATGTTACTGGGCCTGCTCGAGCATATCGATGAACAGTGGGAGGACAGTGACAGTGATGGTTAATGGAGTTTCTGTACTTCTTTTCTTTTTTATTTTGGAGCCACAACCAGTAGAGCTCAGTTTCCTGTAGGCTCCGTGCTTAGGTTTCAATCCTGTGACCATATGTGGTACCAGAAAGCAAACCAAGTTCAACCATATGCAAAGCAAATGCCTTTAATCCCTATACTCTCTCTGGTCCTCTTTTTTCCTCAGCTAGAAGCATTTACCATTTGTTGAAGCCTCAGTAATTGTTTTCTGGTTTGATTTTTCATCACAGGGGACGAACTGGGAGGATCCGAGTCCTGTCTTTTAAAACTGGCATCATTTCTCTGTGTAAAGCACACTTGGAAGACAAGTACAGATGTAAGTCATGTGTATAAACTATATTCTTTTGTTAACATTGGGTAATCACCTCCGTTCTAGATGGGGAATGACACAGTGTTCTTGTTTGACAGCAGATTCTTTGTGTAAAACGTAGAACTGCTTTTAAAGGATCATAAAATTTCATTTGTGCTGTTCCCTGTCAAATACTCAATTGCAGCTATTTAAATAGGGAATGAGGATTCACTTCTCTGGCCCAAGTGTATTGTACACTGACTGTGTCCAAATAAAATATAAGTTCCTAGGGGATATTCTGATTTGCTAACCCACTTGTGTAAGTCTGAAATATAAATGAGAAATGGGAAAGTGTCATCCCTGCACTGGCCACCTCTCTAGATTCTTATTCAAAACATCCTATCTAGCTTTTGTGTTCAAGAAGCATTGTTTTATAATTATCTTTATTGTAAGTTGTCCTGACCTAGCCAATACTGTAATGCAACTAGAATTTTATTGTTTGAAAGGCCAATAGTTCGTCATTTTTTTACAGGGTAAGTATCACCTTATAGAATTTCCTTTTGATTTACCAATGAGTGTGCTTCTTAACGTTTGTAAATCCAAATAAACAACAAATGTTAGAATTGTAAAGGTTGAGGGCAAAGGAGCACTCCCACCGTGAAGCACTGCCCTTGTTTTTCCCTTTAAGTACACTTGTGAGAAATCCCTTTGGTAGGATTATGAACAAGCCTAGACTGTTTAGTCTCTTCATTTCCCCTAAGGCCTACCCACACCGGGATGAGGGTATGTTCTGAGCTTAATGATGGGCAGGAGATAAAAGAGATTGAATTCCTCCCAAACCATTGTGTCCTACTGCTCATTTCCCCCCTAGGAGTCTTCCATCACCATCACCACCAAGTACACAAGCCCTTTTAACTCTTTCTGTCATTTCTGTCATTTCTACTTGAGTTTTTCATTCAAAGAATCAAAGAAAAATCACGGAACAGCTTTTGTTAAACATTCAAAACTGCATTTTGGATAACAGTGTTTCAGAGGAGTTTCCTCGTGTAAATATTATCATTATTTTTTGGTGAGTTTATATATTAACTTTACTAGTGATATGGTACTGGCACATCCTAGTACTAAATGTTAGACTCATCAAGGAGACTTGAAGCTGATTTTTCAGGTAACTATTCAGAGCAAACATGTTTGAGACTGGTGAAACAAAAATTAACTTCAAACTAGTGTATTTAAAAATAATCTATCATTTGAAGGGGCTGGAGTGATAGTACAGCAGATAGAGTATTTGCCTTGTAAACATTCAAGCCAGGTTCAATCCCTGGCACCCCATATGGTCCCCTGAGAACCTCCCTAAGTACAGAGCCAGTCTGCATCCTTGAGTGCAGAACCAGCTGTCCTGTGCAATGCTGGGTATAGCCTCAAAACAAAACAAAAATCCATAATCTTGAGAAGCACACCTATGAGTACCTTTGAAAGGATAAACAGTGCTTAAAATCTCAATTTTTGTTACTGCCATCTTTTATTTATTTGAATTTAAAATGTGCTTTTTTGAGTAGAAAACATTTTCTTGGATTTACCTTTTGCATGCGGGCTGGAGTGATAGCACAGCTGGTAAGGTGTTTGCCTTGCACGTGGCCGACATGGCCGACCCAGGTTCGATACGTTCGCACCTCTCAGAAAGCCCGGCAAGCTACCAAGAGTATCTCGCCCACATGGCAAAGCCTGGCAAGCTCCCCGTGATGTATTCAATATGCCAAAAACAGTAACAACAAGTCTCACACTTTGTCAAGCCTCATACTTTGTTGTGAGATGTTACTGGTGCCCGCTCAAGCAAATCGATGAACAACGGGAGGACAGTGCTACAGTGCTACCTTTTGCATGCAACTTCTGTTTGAATATAGGTTTGGGCTTTTATATTTCTAAGATTAAAACGTGTTGCAAGTATGATATTTTCCTTCACGCTGGGAACGTATATGTTTTAGGCATCTGCTATCCATCAAGTACTGTTGTACTCTAGACACTACTACGGCTTAGTTGATCAAAAAATGTTCCCTGCCCTCATTGAGACATCATTCTTCAACTCCAAAGACATAAATAGTAAATCCTTGACAATGTAACATGATAGGAGCTAGTTTTAATATGCATAGAATTCTGTATAACATATACAAGAGTCTCCATGATTTCATGACTTCATAAAGACCCAATTTGGGGAAAATTTTAAAAAATCTGATCTCAACCAAGCATGGTGATTTGGATCAGTTGTGTGCTTCTTTATGCTAAAATATATATTTCTTGATTAAGCTTGCATCCTATGGAATGAGTGTTTCCAAAAGGACTGTGTTATGACTTAGGAAAGATTAAGATATTGTGACTATATAAAGTCATAATCCTTGAATTGCTGGAGTTTATCACTCTTGATGAGTAACTAAGCCTATAGAGTAAATGTCCATATAGAGTAAATGTCCAGATTAGCCTAAATTATAATTAACCATTCTCCCTGAGAACCTTTGCTACTCTTGAGAATTAGTACTGAAATAAAAATAGTCTCTAGGCTCTGATAGGGTCCATTGGGTATTGCTTTGTGATTGTTGCAATTCTCCTCATTCTCTTGTAGACCTTTTCAAGCAAGTAGCAAGCGCGACAGGACTTTGTGACCAGCGCAGACTGGGTCTTCTCCTGCATGATTCAATCCAAATACCAAGACAGTTGGGTGAAGTCGCATCCTTCGGGGGCAGTAACATTGAGCCGAGTGTCCGGAGCTGCTTCCAGTTTGTAAGTGATTCACCTTCTTCAGTAACATATTTATTCTCTGGTATTTTAGAGAGTCATTGAAAAAATATGTCACTTTCTCACATTAGCTTTTCTGTAGGCGGGTTGGTTGGTCGGGGATTTTTGATATTTGAAACCTCTTTGTCTGTAGCTTCTGGAACTGGGTTTGGGGAGAGAGGGCAGTGCAAAAGAAAGCAAAGACATCTCCAGCAGCAGCAGCAGCGGCAGGCACTGGACTATTAACTGAGGTACTGGAACAGAAGTGATTCTGCAGTTGAGGGAGGAAATATACCCTCTAGACTCAGAAATCCTTTGTAAATCAGAGACTCGCCTTTTGTAGGTGAGTCTGTTATTCTCTAAGTGTTTATTTGACCCCAGCTCCATTATCATAGCTTCCTTTTTTGGTAGCTACAGGTAATCAGCACTGCTTTCCTTTTTAATTTATTTTTTTTAATTTTTTTTGGCTTTTTGGGTCACACCCGGAGATGATTAGGGGTTACGCCTGGCTCTGCACTCAGGAATTACTCCTGGCGGTACTCGGGAACCATATGGGATACTGGGAATCGAACCCGGGTTGGCCGCGTGCAAGGCAAATGCCCTACCTGCTGTACCATCACTCCAGCCCCTGCTTTCCTTTTTTAAAAAGACATCTTTCCTTCCAAATTTGGTGACATTCCTCTTTTATTGCCATACCTGAGTGATGACTTTGAGCAGATCCCAAGTGTGCCTTCCCCTACTGGCCATCACCAGTTCAGCATACTCTGGTTCATTGTCTTTCTCAGCTTCTCACCCCATTGTCTTGTCTAACCTCGAATCAATCTCCCCCATAAAAACCACCCTCTCCCTCCCAAATACCTGACCCTTGATGTCCATTTAACTTCTTTCTATTTTTTTATAAGTTACATCTTTATATATTTAGTGTTTTTCTTTGATGGATGTTTTCTCCTTAGGAGAAATTCTCAGTAATGGGATCAGCAGACTAAGAGATCTAAAGAGTCTGCGGCATTTGATTCATATTACCAGATGGCTTTGTGTAAAATGCTGTTCTGATTTGTAATGCCACCAGCACCAAAGGATTGAGATAGTTCAAGTATTGCATAATTCAGTGTTCTTATGTTTATTTTAAATGCTAAGAACTATCTTCCTCTATGGGTTTTTTCAACCCATTTCAATCCCATAAGCTATAAAACAAGCAATACAGAGAACTGGGTTAAAGGGCTAGACCTTTTATGATTGAGGAGAGTGGGAGAAAACTATACAAGACATCGATGGAGAATGTCATGAAGATTTAGATGCCAAAAGCTCTTGAGCAATTCTTTAATGGCCACCTAGGCAAGCATACTAAATGCATGAATAATAAGACCATATACATATTAGCTGGATATACTGCTTAGGGTTTTTTTTTTGCCAAAATTATGACAGATTAGCTTTAACTATAAAACAGATGTGCAGAAATAAATGCAGTTTTTCACCCCCTGCCCAAATCTCCACAAATGTAAATAGACTATCAATTCTAGATTTTCTTTGCATGCTGCTTCTTAATATTTATTCATTCCCCAGACTACACACATGTAACTCACACATAGTTACTTTTAGTGACCACAAATAATTTAGATTCTTTTGTTTGGGGACCACACTCAGTGATCCTCAGGGGTGGCTATTTCTGGCACAGTACCAAGTAGTTCTGGGGAACTGTGTGGTGCCAGAGACCGAATGTGGGGCTTGCATGTGCAAAATATGTGCTCCAGCTATTTGAACTATCTTCTTAACTCCATTTTCATTTTTCAATCCAATTATAAAACAATTTCCAGTCATATGAGAGTTGTTTTCCAAAATACTGTTTTCTCTTAGGTCAAGTTTTCACTGTATCACTGTCATCCTGTTCATCGATTTCCTCCAGCAGGCAGCAGTAACTTCTCCTTCATCCTAGCCCTGAGATTTTAGAAAGTGTCACATTTGAGGCTCTTTCAGGGTCAGGAGAATGAGACCCATCATTGTTACTGGTTTTTAGCATATTGAATACGCCACGGGGAGTTTGCCAGACTCTGCTGTGGGGGCAGGAAACTTTTGGTAGCCTGTCAGGTACTCCAGAGTAAGAACTAGAAAATAAGATGTTGTGTGGCCGCAAATGCAGCTGCGTGCTTCCGGGAGCTGGATTTTATAGTCTCTGGGTCTTGGCCGTTGATTGGATTACACAGCGACGGAGGCAGTTGGTGGGTGTAATGACTACATACTGGACGATGGAGGATCTGGTTAGAGGAGGCCCAGTCCCAATCTGAGCAGGCCTGGAGATCTACGCCCCGGGTCCCACACACCTGGGTTCATCTGCCGGTTCCTTCATGCGTGAGGCTCGTCCAAATGTGTGGAGAGTGGTCTTAAGCATGGCTATGGCTGGAACTGGAGGTCTTCAGCTGCCGGGGCTCTGCTCGGGGTGGGGAGGGAAACTCAACCCACCCTCCTCCAAGGGGCCCCGGTGAGGACAGCCAGGTGTGGAGGCAGGAGACTTTGGCTCTTCTCTTCCGGGAGCTGGGTTTTATAGTCTCTGGGTCTTGGCTGTTGATGAGATTACATGGCGCTGGGGGCAGTTGGTCAAGTTTCAGTTAACTATTTTTTTTTTTTTGCTTTTTTGGGTCACACCCGGCAGTGTTTAGGGTTTACTCCTGGCTCACACACTCAGAAATTACTCCTGGCGGTGCTCAGGGGACCATATAGGATGCTGGGAATCGAACTTGGGTTGGAGTTGGACGTGTGCAAGGCAAATGCCCTACCTGCTGTGGTATTGCTCCAGCCCAACTTTTTTTTTTTTTTTTTTTTTTTTTTTTTTTTTTTTTATTTATTGAATCACTGTGGGAAAGGTTACAAAGCTTTCAGGTTTATGTCTCAGTCATGCAAATATCAAACACATTTCCCTTTACCAATACTTATTTTTTCCCATGAAGAACCCCAATAAAAACCCCACCCCCCACCCCTCCCCGTCCCTGTGAGGCAGATGAATTCTAGTTAACACTCTATCCGCTTTGATTAGATTGTTTCAATAAAAGATTCACCACTATTATTTAGAGTTTCCCCCCCCCCCCCCAAATCAGACATGCTGAAAAAGCATTGTAAAGTGATTTGCTTTCTACAGCTGGGTTCAAGAATTAAATGTTGGTTTTGGATTTCTGCTATTTTACCTATTGACCCTGGAAGTATTTCTACTGAAAGTCAGATAGTTAAGAAATTGGTTTCTGTGTTCTGGAGTCGTGGCCGTGCTGGAGAGCCGCTCGTGGGGGGCAACTGGTGGCCTCGGTAGGGCGTGAAGGGCGGAGCGAAACGCCCCCCTTCCCATGAGGTTTTAGTCGCCCCCACACTCCCCAGCCCAACTTTTGACCCCCTAGTTGGAAAGGTCAAACACACAAGGGGATGCATATATGTGTCTAGACTTCATTGTAACACGTATGGTAAACTGGGCTGCGAATAAGGATCTGAATTCAAATCTGTCCCCAGACTACTATATACAGTTATGGTTGTCCGAGAGTCAGCCATCGGCTTTCTTCAGTCCACAGTCCTGACTGGACATTTAGTCAGCCAATGCCACCTTCACTGTAGACCCTTGTGCTCCTGCTCTCTCTTGTATTGAAACCTATTTAGTATACATATAATATTGGGTAACTTTAAGATTCTGGGCACATCCATAATTTGTATATTGTAAAAATGATAGCTTTAGTAGTAATCACAAACATATCCATCACATCACACAATTAGCATTTCTTTTTCTTGGGGGAAAATTTCAATCTAGACTCAGGCTGGTTTTAATTTGGTTTTCAGAAGGGGCTGCTGGCCAGAAGCTCAGACCCCCCTATCCTTGCTTTGTTGTTGTTTTTGTTGGTTGTTGTTGGTAAGACCTGGCTGTGTTCAAGTCTCACTCCTGATGCTCGGCGATCACTTTTGACTGCACTCAGGGGACCATGTGCCATGCTGGGAGTTGAGCTGTGGTTATACTATCTCTCCAGCCCCTTAACTCCATTTTTCCTGGTGCCGTCTCTCACATCCTTCTGTTAACAATCCCACTTCTCCCCTAGACCTACATGTCTTTTTGTTTCTCCTGCTCTCAGATAATAGCGACACATTTCTCACTGTCACACTCTGAGACCAGCTCTTTGTAGCATGCTTAGTGATTGTGTCCTATCTCAAGAGTCACCATCTCCAGTGATCTGGGTCCCCTGCTGTGTTTGGACCCCGTGACTGTCCCCCTGGCTGATGGATGAAGGGACGGGGTCACAGGCTGGTAATCAGAGGCAGTTTATTCAGATCAATCAGAATTATTATAGAGAAATTGTGAAGGGTTGGGGGGCAGCAGTTGCATACAGGTGTATTTGTACATGGTTGAACATTAACATAGACAATGAACAAATATAAAGCCACTCCTTCAGGGGAAATCCTTCCAGGAGATTCACCCAAGGATATTATTCCATCTAGCGGCTCCAGCACTCTAGATTCCTTTAAGGAGATCCACCCAAAGCCAAAATACGGGCACATTGATTTCTCCTTTACTTTACTGGTATTCCATTTAAGCAATCATATTAAATTTACTTCCTAATAATATTGTATATATTAATTTGTTTAAACACAATATGAGACATAGGCTTTTATCTATACCCGAGATTAAGCTTAACATGGTCTCTCTGGACTCATGGTAGAGGGTGGCTTTTCCTGGGGACACCTCACTATATTTCCCAGACTACACTTCTCAGGCCAACTTAGTTTTTCTTAATCCCAACAAGGTCTTTATTCAGTTACTTCTTTTTGGGTCATGTCAGAGTTTGTTCATGACTATGCTCTTAACTTATACTTCTTATGGCACTTAACTTGTCCCATGTCGAAGCCAAGGTAGCTTTTGGCTTGCCCCCAGTCCATCCAAGTCTCTCGTCAAGACTCACCTTTTGGAGTGTGAGGAACTAAGGTCAATCTAAGGGCAACTGAGGCTTAAGTCAAGTAAATATGATGGATGCCCAGGAGTAAAT